ATATATATATATATATATATATATATATATATATATATATATATATATATATATATATATATATATATATATATATATATATATATATATATATATATATATATATATATATATATATATATTTTTGTGGCGTTCGTGTTTTAATTGGCTAGCATGAGGATTTCATGCGTATCACTAGTATTTCTTGTGAATTGATGGATTGACAATGTCTTAAGCGTTGATAATCAACACATGAAGAAAAAAAATATTCGAGTATAATCAAAATTGTTTCATTTTTTGCCTAAAATATTTATGAACACGAGTAATATGTTATTTCTTTTTTGAATAAAAAATAAAATAAAATAAAAAAGGTTTTCTCGATTTTCAACTCATCCAAGGATATAGGTTACTTCTATAACAGCGCCAAAAAAAAAATGATGAATGGTAAGATATATTGCTTATAGATTTTTATTATCCAATATTTTATTTTTGGATTACAATATTTCTAAGTATGACGATGAAAGGGTTTCTAAATGTTGGATGGAACATTGAATTTTTGTCTTGGATAATATTATTGAGAAATTATTTTCAAATATAAAAAAGAATTGCAAAAGATGTAATTGAGAACAACAACATCATTATATGAAATAGATTACAAGAGGTTGAAAAATATTTGTTCAAAATTGTAAAGATTATTTTTTTCAACTAACAAATCAACAATTACAACAAGACAATCTTAAAAGATTTTTGTTATATTGATGCATTATGCCTCCTCTCAAAAACACCGTTATAAAAATTCCTCTTTCCATTCCCTTTAGTTTTCACAAAGTCTTATATGTAATATTTGGCTTCTTATGTTGATGCATTATTCCTTTAATTAATTTGGTTAATGTATGGCCTATATATCTAATAATGAGCTGTACTTCATCGTAATTGTCATCGTTTTTTATCTATTAAAACCTCTTTACAAATGTTTAATACCAATGTTAGAAAAGGCGTCGAACATCAATCCAACTGTTAATAGCTCCAATAAATTTTACTCCGCCAGTTTAACTAGTCCTTGACAAAATTCAAAATACAAAAACCCTATAGATAGATAACCCCTTACTCAATGCATCATTCACAACAATGACTACAATGGTCAACTCCAAACCCAAACTTGTTGCAACACAAACCATCTTCTCTCTTTTCCTTTTAACTTTTCTCTTGTCAATCACCAATGTCAACTCAGAATCAGTTTCAGTCAGCTTCCCCAAGTTTGACAACGTTACCGACACCATCGTCCTCGGCGGCGATGCCAAAAATATTGGTGGCGTACTACAACTCACTGAAAAGAACCAACTCGGAAACCCATCTACACATAGTTTTGGTCTGTCCGTATTCTCTAAACCTATTCGTCTCTACGAAGAAAAAAGTGGTAAAGTTGCTGACTTTACCACTGCGTTTTCTTTTGTTGTGGATCCAAAGGGTTCACAACTTCATGGAGATGGTTTCACTTTCTTTATTCTATCGGTTGGTTATGACCTCCCGGTGAATTCATCATCGGAGGGCGGATTCCTTGGACTATTTGATAAAGAAACCGCCTTCGATACCTCAAAAAACTCTATCGTTGCGGTCGAGTTCGATAGTTTTACAAATGAATGGGATCCTAACTCACCTCATATTGGAATCGACATCAACACGATTGAGTCTTCAGTCACTGTTCCATGGCCAATCGATAGACAATCACAAGGATCCATAGGAATAGCACGAATCAGTTATAATTCTGCGTCAAAAGAGTTGAATGTGTTTGTAAGTTATCCAAATAGTCCTGTTAAAGTGGATGTTATTTTATCTTATCCAGTTGATCTTGCGGCAGTTCTGTCGGATTGGGTCCTTATTGGTTTCTCCGGTGCAACTGGTGAACTTGCAGAAACACATGACATTCTCTCGTGGTCTTTCACTACGAACCTATAGAGAGTATGATACAGTTGAAGAAGAAAATATTGTGAGTTGAAGGACTATTATATTACTATTGATCGATATAAGCTCTTTATGATGCTTTTGTTTTCTTTTATGATGCTTTTTCATTAACAAGGATGAACTTCACTTGAAGTTATTAATATGTTGTATAATATTTATCAAAATAACAATAGTATTCATCTCAAAAAACTTTTTAAATAAAATTGTCATACATAAGTTGTTAGAGATGGAATATTAGATATAATTTTATCTGGAAAATATTTTAAATTTTTTTTTTAATTTAAACATATCTGTCAATATGTTAGGATTGAATATTAGACTTCTTTTGCAACATTAAGACAAAAAATTTAGAATTTTATCACGATATTGGAACGAATTATAGAACTTATGTCATGATATTAAGATGGAATTTTAGAATTCTTTCTAGGATTGAGACAAGACATAAAAATTATATAACAATATTGTGATAGAATATTAGATTTTTGTTGCAATATTGTGAGAAAATTTTAAAAGTTTTTCTCAATATTGAGATGAAATAAAAGAACGAATTTAAAAAAATAATCATATTCCGTCCTCAAATTTTCCTAAATGTACATGCGATAAAAAATAAAATTTTGTCTTCCAACAAATTGCGACGAACATACTCTATCGCGAATTTCACCCCAATTTCAATTGGGATGGAAATTTTCACTATTGTGAGACAAATATTCGGTCCAAATTTAATGTTTTTTTATAGTGTATGGCTCCAACAACACCTATCCTTATCTAGAGTCTAGTGCATGGCGCCAACAACACCTATTCTTATCTAGAGTCTGATATAAACCGTGGAAAGCATAGTGAAGATTTGACATCAAATGTTCCTTATGGACAAAAAGATCTCCTCGACATCAAATCCAAAATTAATTTTCCTTCATCACACCTGCCTAACTCACCCATTGCCTCATCTGATTGTTTAAAAATGGAGAAAAGTTTGTGGAACCTAACTTTAAGAGAAATGTTCCCCACTCAAGGGTCCGGCCAAAAGCAAGTCTGAAAACATAATCCCACTTTCTTAGAAATACTATCCACAAATCAATCAGATGCACCGTTTACTCTGGATCTATAGGGGACACTCATTTCCACTACCTGGATCCAGACCGAAAACCCAAAGAGCGACTCCCTATCATAGAAGAAAATGCTGATGAGCCATACCTAGCCGATATCACACAAAAGGTCAAAAGCACTTGATATCAACCCCCACCTTCATTTGACCAATATGACCAGATTACCAAAGATGTATCCCTTATTCCCAAACCACATTTACTCTTAGAATTATAGACATCGGACCACTAATCTATGAAATCTTAGAGTCCCCCTTCACACTCCCTCCCCAACGAACCATCTATAAATCCTGACTATCTTCTTCCAAAACTTCACATGCATTTTCAAAAAAGAAAAGAACGAAGTAGAGATATAATAAATCACATAATTAAGTAAGACCAGTCGACCCCCCAAACTAACATACATATACTTCTAGAAAAGAAGTTTATTAGACAAAAGATTGAGAAGAGGATCCCAGTGGCTTCCAAACGGGGATTATACTCAACGGGAAATCCAAGATATATAAAAAGAAGGGAATTTATTATCTCATACTTTGAGGTGGAAAAGAGCCCTATGGAAATCTGAAAAGTTCCCCTCATTTTTCAGAAATACATTTATGGACACACCATTTATATTACGCAACATCGTACAAAAATATTGTCACCCTACAGCCAAACAAAATTTTATTCCGGAGATACATCTCCCTTACATAGTATTCAATGTTTTTTTGTTACTCATTCAAATGAGTTATCGGGAGATGTCTGTCCAAATATTTGAAGTGGGACTTTGATTATTTGTCACCTTTGCATGTCAAATTATTTTGGAGATGCATCTCAGGAAAAATCAAATGTGAAATGCTAAAAATAACCACCTGCATGATCAGACTCCATATCCATTTTTCTCATAAACCCTCTCCAAAAACCCATTCATTCTCAATCAAGATTTTCACTCCAAAACTTCATTCTTGTGTTTCATCTAATCAAAAGTAGCAAAAGAAGTTGGAATTCAAGGTAAAGTTCATTTTTTTTCAAGTCTCATTGCTCACATTAATCATGTTTTGAAGTGGAAAAAAGTTACATTATATTCGAAAATGTATTTCCAAAAGTCTGTATGAATTCATCCGGAGATGTATTTCTGGATGTTGTCTGTTTTCATTTTCCTGCAGTCAGTTTTCAATATTAGTTATTATTAAGTATTCTATGTTTTTTTTTTCATTAGTTCCGGTGCACCCCAATGTTTTTCAGAAATTTATTATGTCTTCAGATGTCAAATATGTTGTTGTGAAGGAGGTAGATATTGGTAAACGATTTAAAAATGAACAAGAGTTTGAATTTCATTATCACATGCTTCAATGAATTCGTACGGAGGCATCCAAACTTGGGTTTAGGGTTATAATCATAAGGTTCGGTAATTGTTCAAATAGAAGTGGTGTATTTGTGACATTGGCATGCGAAAGAAGTGGGAAATATATACCTGCCCTCTAGAATTTCAAACGAGATGACACTGTTGGCTGAAGATTTTGATATTATGGTTCGAAATAAAATGATTGGGCTTTGTTTGAATATAGCAAGTTTGATGATTTAGAATGGAAGAGAATGTTGGTTTCGAATAGAAATATTAAAGTTCAAGGTTTCGAATGGTAGTTGTGGAGTGTAAGTCTAAAGCATTGTTCGAAATAATAAGGAGACTATATCTGTGAGGGTTATTTTCGAACACGAATTCGAAATGAAGATACCAAGGCGTTTGAAATTTAAACATGAGCGGGATATTGGAAATTTAAAATACACAAGCATTGGAACGTTCGAGGACGCGTGGAGGCTAGAGGGAAGTATTGCTCTGCATGCTTCGAACGTGGCAGATTCTGATAACAAGACCGTTATGGTCGAAATAGTATAAATAGAGGTCTTAGTATTAGGATTTGGTGTGTCATATCTGTTGTACAGGTCCGATAAATATTCAAAATACCACATGGATAGGGAAACGAATGCTCAAAAGATGTACGTATGATAACACCAGCATTTACAATTCAATAAAAACTCTTTACATTTTCCAGTTTTGTCTTTTATTTCCGTTTCATTTGTGCTTCAAACATTTTACGTTTTCTGCCTTTACATTAAAGCCTTTACATTCGAAGTCATTTATTCCTTTCTGCATTTAAATACTTTTCTTATGGTCGAACCCTCTAAACATTTAATAACTTTTGCATCCACTCATTTAATCCTTCCATTTACCCAATTTTAAGTCTTTAAACTTTTTTCATGAACATTCCTAATACCATATAGAAGTTATCCTTCGAACCATGCAGTATAGCAATCGAAGTGGATTGGATATCTTAGAAACAATTCTAATTTGAAGTCCTGAATATGAATACCAGTTTTACAAGTAGACTTAACCAAACAACTATGTTCCATAGGATCAATCTAGTCGATCCTGCAAGTTATCAGAGAAATTGAATAACAGTCATTAAGTTTATTCGATAGTTTGGAAGACTAGCGCTTGTTCACCAGAAATCACTATGAACAAATTGGCACACCTGGTGGGACAGGTTGTTAAGAAAGTTGAAAGTAAAGATTTTTAGGATATAATCTTGTCGTGTAAGTTCTTTTCTGAATATCGATTTCGCCGTTATATGAACCTTAGAAGTGGTAAAACAACTAATAGTAACCAACCCTTACCCAGAAGAAAACGTAGTTGTGGGATGTCTAATCCAAATAATCAACAAGGGGAACAAAATATCCCACATGGAACAGGCACCAATGCGTCTGTTTCGACGGGGACGTCTAACGCGATCCCTACGAACGCACAGTCTGTTGCATCTTCTACCAGTAGTGTGACCACAAATGGAGCAAGTGGCACAACAACCAACAGTTCGGCCCTAGGAAATACAGGGACCACTGGTTATCTTGCAGGATTTGTCCCACCACCAGGGACACAAACCCATTTCGCCACCCCACCACCAACTAGACCACCCGGTTTCGATGGCACTAGACTCAGAAATCCTTCCTATGGGATGCCAACGTCTTTTATGGTGGGTTTGCACAATTCTACATCAAATTCGTCACCACAATTTGGGTCCGGATCTGGGGCCAACCAATTTATGACAAATACCCAAGGTTCAGTGGGTCATAATACATTGCCTATCTTAACCACAGAAAATCAGATGGCCTTTAGGCAATTAATGGATGATAGTAACCATAATATGATAGGAGTGTCAGCGCAGACTATGCAAGAAATCTTTTCCCCAATAGTACAAAACGTAACTGTAACCAACAGAGAAAACGCTGACAACATGAGTCGAATAGCAGATTTTTTCGCTCCGCCAGAAAGGCGTAGGCAGAATCAGGCGGGGGTTCGAGCGAACATACCCATCATTGAACAAATTGCTGATGACCCACCCTATAGACCAGCCGGAGAGGGGGTTAACTTGGGGGCAAGGGCTCAAAGGTTAGAAGTCCCAGTGATTCGAGAGGAACCACAAAGGGGAGTTGTAGAACCAGGGGCAAGGGTCGAAAGGTTAGAGGTCCCAGAGTTTCGAGAAGAACAACCTAGAGGAGTTGTCATGGTGGGTCGACACCAAGATGCTGATGAAGTCGTTCATAGAATTCGAAATGACAACATCTTGGCAGAAAATAATTTAACCACCATGATAGAAAGGATTATGGCTCAAAACGGTCTCAATACAGGAATTAGAAGGCCAAACTATTCCTCTCCCATAGTAGATTATGTGATGCACACTGATTTACCAAGGGGATATAAAGTCCCTAAATTTACGAAGTTCGTTGGAGACACCAATGAGTCAACAGTCGAACACATAGCCAGGTATTTGACCGAAGCGGGAGATATAGCAAATAATGAGAACCTTAGGATTAAATATTTCCCAAGTTCCCTAACTAAGAACGCTTTCACATGGTTCA